TGAGACAAAACATTTTGTCCTTGTACATGGAGGGGGTTTTGGTGCTTGGTGTTGGTACAAAACCATAGCTCTTCTGGAAGAGAGTGGTTTCACAGTTACAGCTGTAGACTTGACTGGAATCATAAGTATTTGAAATACACATCTATCCAAACAATGAATTTTAAATCATAAGTATTTCAAATTCATACATTTCAAATACTTGCATTTCAAATACATATAATTCAAATACATATATTTCAAATTCAGCTATCCAAACGCACCCTAAGAGTAAAAGGGTAAATTAGATAGAAAATAATAAAATAAAGTGAATTAAAATTCTCCCGCTGTTAGGTCTCATCTCTCACCATTGCGAGTTCGCGACCCTTCTCCGCCGCCCCGCTCATCGGAGCCACTCCCTTCACCGTCCCCGGAGCGTAGCCGAAGAACGACTCCTCACCGCATTCCACGAAGTTCCCTCGCGGCGGTGCTGGCTGTGTGGGAATAGCTCTCCCTGTCATAAACCAGTTGGTCCCAATAACTCGAGTTGTTGGGAGAAGGTTATGCTGGATCTTATACAGGCCCTTGTATGGTGCTTAACCACTTCCTTACACGCCCCCTCAAACGAAAGCCGACTCATGGGCTTGAAGTTTGCACAGGCCCGCTATACCATGTGCTTGAAAGACAACGGTTAATATTGGGGGTCGTGAGGACTTGAACACGTGACCTCACGGACAACCAGCTCTGATACCATGTCATAAACCAGTTGGTCCCAATAACTCGAGTTGTTGGGAGAAGGTTATGCTGGATCTTATACAGGCCCGTGTATGGTGCTTAACCACTTCCTTACACTCCCAGTGTACAATCCCTCTCTCCGACTCCCCAACTCGACCATCGTATCCTCTTCCTCTCTCATTGACTCCCTAAACCTAATTGCTACCTACGCTGAACACCTCCTCCTCTCCTCAACATCCAAAGAATAAACATTGTCAACATTTGGGCGATGCTTGGCAGGATTTTTCTGTAATTAGTGGTGCGAATTTGTGCCTCCACCAACTACAAGCAAGCGTGCAATGAAACCCTCCGGCCGGTAAACGATACGAACGACCCCAAGGATTTCATCAAGGCGGCGATCACCGCCACCATCGAAGCCACAGAGAGATCCTTCAATCTCTCCTACGCTCTGACCGAGAAAATCAACTTCGATCGCCGCCGCGAGAAGAACACCACAATCAGCTTACGAATGGCGCTGGAAGATTGCAGGGATATATTATCAGACGCTGTTGCTGAGCTTCAAGAATCCCTATCCTTTTTAGCCAACAGCAGCAGCCTCCTCACGTCCCGATCCAACAACGATTCGGCCGCCGCCGCCGCCGCAGCCGACAGCCGACACGTCATCACGGAGCTTCAGAACTGGCTGTGTCTCAATTCGCATGATTCCGTAGCTTAGAGAATATTGTTGCTGTTTGTATCTCGGTTGCTATCATGCTTCTGTAAATGGGTTTCAGAAATTAGTTGACTTGACCCTCTGGTATTCAATTTTAGGGGTTTTAAGCGCTAAAGGGATTGAAATGATTTTGTTTGACAATGCACATCTACTTTAGATATAGTAATCCCTACGATTTTCGCTTATAAATTGCTAGTATGGCTCATCTAAAAAACCAATAATTGCTAGTATCACGGTAAAACAAACCATAAATATTTCTAAAGCACATCAGAAACCCTCTAATACAAACGACAAACACGGTAAAGCAAACCAAACACGTTCTAATGCAGACCACAAATATATTAAAACAAACCAGAAACCTCGCAAACCAAACCACAAAAGTTTCGAAAGCACACCAGAAACTTCTTAATGCAAACCAGAAACCTCCTAATGCATACCACAAATCTCCTAAAACAAACCACAAACCTCACAAAGCAAACCACAACATTTGCGAAAGCACACCAGAAACCTCCTAATGCAAACCACAAACACAGTAAATCAAACCACAAAAAAGCAAACCAGAAACCTCCTAATGCATACCACAAATCTCCTAAAACAAACCACAAACCCCTCAATGCAAACCGCAAAGTTTTTGAAAGCAAACCAGAAACTTCTCAATGCAAACCACAAACACGATAAAGCAAACCAGAAACTTCTCAATGCAAACCACAAACGCGATAAAGCAAACCACAAAAGGCATACAAAAATATGAGAAACCAAACCATAAATCTCACAATGCAGACCATAACAACCGATGGTTGTTGACCGTTGACCGAACTCCGATGACCGTCAGTGAGCAGATTCCGACGCCGATAGGCATATTCCGGCCCCGATGACTAGTTTCCGTCGCCGGTAAGCATATTCCGGCGCCAGTGGCATATTCCGATGAGAAAATAGCATATTCCGGCAACGAAAAGCATATTCCGGTGATCGGTGGCCGAATTCCGGCGACCAATTTTTTTGGCAGAAAATAAAAAAATATTTTTAATTTTTTAATTTTTTTTAATTTTTATTATTATTTAAACATATTTTTCATAATGACAATTATACCCCTGCTTTGATTTTACACTAAGTCAACTCATCTAATAAAAAGTCATCACAACCCTAGCTTGCTATTGGTTAGAGGCTAGTGTTGTTACAATAACAACACAAGGAGTGTTGTCATAGTATCTAATCCCCTAGCTATAATAGTTTTGTTAAGTTCCAGTCAATCACGTAGTCACAAATTTTTTTGATTGTCTATCCAGCTAGTGAAAAGAAAGTCATTACTAGAAAATGCCAAGCCTCACTTCGTGGTTACATTAGTTGTGTTCACGGACTCTCAACTTCATCCTTACTTTTTTCACAAAGATTCTCTATCTACTCATCTCAGCATGAGCTATCGCGACGTCGTTTGTTCGTCATCACATCTTATTTTAGCCGTTTGGCTTATTGGAAGTCGGCAAATAATAGTATACTTAACAAATGTTAATTTAAATTATACAAAACATGATTCAATAACATGAGTCATGTGAACACACATTTTATCCAAACAAAAATCAATTCCTACTTGTGAAATTTACACATAATCATTAGTGCATAAATCTAACTAGTAGTACTAGAAATTTTCAAAATTCAAACACAAGATTTGTTGAGTGATGAGGGTATATGATACGTACCAAATTACCAATACCCTACTTTTACTTGTAACTTGCTTAGTTTGGGATATACCCCTTTTTTTATGAGGATATACCCTTTGGTTTGAGATTGAAGGCAAGAGAGACGGCCAAAGGTCACATAGCCCCACTGGTGTGAGTGCGGAGAAAAGGTATGATTTGGGAGGGGTAGCTTTCAGGTTTGATCATCCAAGCCATCAGGTGGGTGTTCCCGAAGACACAATGGGATCCTATTGGCAGGCCTTCGCAAAGCGATATAAACTAAAGTAGGTGAACGACCAAATTTAGTAGACCCCACTATCACCAAGTTATTAACTATTAAGGGTCGTGGAATCCATAGTAATTGGGCTACTTAATTCATCTACTTTTCCCAGGATTCACATTCAATTATGTAGGCCTTGTCTATTTAAAATTTTCAAAAGGGCCCAGTTGCTCTGTCATTTGGGCCTGGCCTGCTTTAAATATTTTGAAGCTATCCGTCTGCCCGTGCCCGGCAAACAATGACCGAAATCAGAACCGTCAACTGTCGTTTAGGTTTATCCGTTTAGATGATTACTAGTATTCTTTGTCCGCGCTCTGCGTCGGGACAGGTGGAACATCAAGATTTAATCAGTGTTTGCACGTTTGGTCTCCATCAAATATAAACTGTCATCACATTGTGTTGAGAGATATCGTGTTCCAAGTTTTGAAGACAAATTGTGTTTGATAAGGCATGCTGAATGATTCATTGTCTTGAATCGGCTGGTAGTTTGCTGCAAGTTAGATTATACTGAACAATGAACATGTAGTAATTGAATTGCACATTTTCCCAACAAACATAAAGCAATAGAGCACTGCCCAAACACATTAATTATGCCACATGAAGTCAATAGAGACTGAGGAAAATAGTAATGACACACATCCAAGTAATTCGAGTACTCAAACACAAAGCCCTATAAATCCTTAATTAGGCAAAATAATTCTATGGGTTCAACTACAACTAACCATAATCAGAAACCAAATAGCTGCAATCATCACATTCCTACCTTCCAACACCATAAGCACCAATTCTAACACGGAAGGTCAATAAACTACTCATTTATTGGTAAAGGTGAAGATAAAATTCATCTTCATCTTCATCTTCACCTTCACCTTCACCTTCACCTTCACCTTCTTCCTTCCTCTTCCATCTTCCCCCTACTATATAACTAAAATCTCATCTCCATCCTAACAGGAAAATAACAAAAAAAAAAAAAAAACTCATTCGGTCATTCTTAACAAAAATAAAAGGTAGAGCCACTGAGGGGCCCCAATTTCCAGTGGAAAAAAAAGCCCCCAAACCAAGCTCTGCAAATAAAACCCTAATAACTAATTAAAAATAATAAAAAGAAGAAAAAAAACAAATTTGATAAAATCATTTTCACATTTTCCCCACAACACTAAGATGGGCGGACGAGGGTGACCAGAAGAAGAAGATCGCCATATTGGGCGTCTCCTCCATCCTCCTAGTCGCCATGGTCGTCGCCGTAGCCATCGGCGTAAGCAACAACCCCACAGACAGCGGCGGAGAAGGAGGCGACAAAAGCACTTCGACAAGCACCAAATCTCCACCACCAACAAAGCCGTGAAAGCCCTCTGCGCCCCGTCCGTCTACAGGACACGTGCGCGAGTCTAGCCTCTCCAAATCCGCGGAGAACGCCACGGACCCGAAGACGCTCGTCCAGGCAGGGTTCGAGATCGCGGTCGAGTCCCTCAAGGACGCGATGAAGAACTCGAGCACCCTGAAGGAGGTCGCGCAGGACCCCAGGGCGAAGCGCGCCTTGGAGAAATGAACTAACTTATATCACCTTCATAACAAAATTGGGTTACACAGTGATATTGGCCCCTGGTTTATAGCAAAAAATATGGGGTTTGAGAACTCAGCGGGAGCCGTGGGCCACCAAGCTGTGGCCTACCGCTCCCAGTCCGACAACTCCGTCGTCTTCAATTGCCAGTTTGATGGATATCAAGACACCCTGTACCAGCAAACCTATCGACAGTTCTTTCGTGACTGTGTCATCACTGGTACCATCGACTTCATTTTCGGGGTTGCTCGCACCGTCCTCCAGAACTGCACCATGATTGTCAGGAAGCCCATGGATAACCAACAATGCATTGTGACGGCGGAGGGGGCGACAAGACCCGAACGGTGACTCGGCCATCGTGATCATGAACAGTCATATCATGGGCGACCAGCTTACTTGCCCGTCAAGGACCAGCTCAAGGCGTACCTGGGGCGTCCGTGGAAGGAGTATTCGAGGACCGTGATCATGCACACCGTGATCGACGGCATGATCGCTCCCGAAGGATGGTTGGAGTGGCAGGGTGACTTGGGGCTCAAGACGCTTTACTACGCGGAGTTTCGAGAATACGGGTCCTGGGTCGGTTCAGACGGGTCGGGTGACTTGGCCTGGAGTTAAGCACATTGGGGCCGCAGATGCAGCGAATTTCGCCCCTGGTAAGTTGTACGTTGAAGGGGATGATTGGATCACGGCTACTTCTGTCCCGTACACTTCTGGGATGGGTAATTAAGTAGGTTTTGCTCGAGGTTGTTTAATTTGTATTTAGTGGGGAAGTGTAAGAAAATAAGGAAAGGAAGCAGTTTTTTGTTGCTTTCTGCGCGGTGGTTTGAATTGATCACCATTGTAGAGAAAAATGTCGATCAGACCATGTATAGCCATTCGATCGAAAGGGAAAAGTACTTAAGAATTTACATGACCTAATTCTTTTGTATAATCATAGTAGTAAATTTTTGGATGAAATGATTATTCTACGTGGCTCATATATGATATATGCATAGGCGGAGGCAGAGGGCATTGGCTGTGCCCTGGGATCCGGTAATATTTGGAGTAAAAAAATACTTCATATATGTGTACCAGGGATTGAGCCCATTATATTTGGGCACTACACTTTAACAAAATCCCAATGGATATAATTCACTAATAATCAATCCTTATTTCTCTTAGGTCAGATTGGTTTTTTCGCACAACAATCTTTGTATTATCTGATGCTATTGCGATGAGAGATTTTGGATTGAAGAGAAATGACAAATTATATCAAGTAATGGTGAAGACAAAGTACATCAGTCATATCCATTTGTTTATATGCTTACTAAACTAATTTTGACACTAGCTGTTGCAACTACAAGTGCAGAAAGAACATTTTCAACTTTGAGCTATGTTAAGAACAAGCTTCAAAATCGAATTGGCCACCAGTATGCTAATGATTTTTTAGCTGGACACATAAAAACCACTTACTTAAGAACATAAACAATGAATGTATTTTGCGTTTCTTTTAGAATATGAAAACGCGTTGAGATTGTTTATGAAAACAATGATTGTATTAATATGTTATTTTTTTTATCTATATGAATGAATTCTTTAGATATTATTAAATTAAATTTTATTTATATTATGAGAAGATGACACATGTATTTTTGAATCATGGCTCCGCCTAGGGATGACAAAAATATCCGTAACCATGGATATCCGCCCGAATCCGACCTAGTCGGGTAGGGTAAAATCCGAAACCGAATGAGTTTTAGTGGGTATGGATAAAATCCGAACCCAAATATTGCGGGTAATGGGTGGACATAGTTTTCTCACTATCCAACCCAAACCCGCTCGATTATACACATGCATATGTATTTGTCTATAGATAGTCATTATTTTTATCTAACATATTTTGTATTAAGCATATAAATATAGTAATTTCATCAAATTGTGTTGTTTTAATTAATTTTCTTCACTCTAATGAATTATTGCCGTACTTTTCCTCTTATGTAATGTGAGAATACGTGTGAATGTTAACATACTAGTTGAAGTTATAAAGAGAAATTATTACCCATGGATAACCGTGGATACCCGAAACACGAACGGGTATGGGCATGATTTTGATTTTCTACCCATTTCTTATGTGGGTATAGATATGGGTAATACCCGAACTACTATGGATAGGAGAACGGATATGCAATATCCGCCCCTAACCCGACCCATTGCCATCCCTAACTCCGCCACTACATATTGAGCTAAACGTAACTTTTTGTTTCATGGGAAGTAGGAAGCAAGTGGGTGATGTCTGATGATTGATGTTGGTGGATTGTGAATAGATAAATATATTATCCGCATTAACTCGAGCGAGTGATGTGTGAGTTTAGGATCACCCGAACAAACCGCATCCAATTTTCACAAGACAAATTTGTTTATCGTTTATACTATTAAAACTGGCGTCATAATTTTTAACCGCACTTCATACTGACCATCGACTTTCGAATAGGAAAACAAAAATAGTTTTGAACTACTAGTTTTGGTTAATATGTTGTGTAATCCATGAGATGTTGTGATTAAAACTATAAAGTATTAATTGTAACAAAAGCGTAGAAAGCATCAATTTTCTCTGCATGATTGGTTGACAAAGCAATGAAAGTTTTATACAAGTATTAGATGGAAACAAAAAAGACAAAGAGGGAGGTTTCTAAATGGCAATTCAATTGCATGGACATAACTATAGAATTTGTAAAATAATAGCCAATTTATGAGAAATACACAAAATGTCTAGATTTTAGAAACATGTTTGACAAATTTAGCCGTTTTCGTTAAAACTTTAACACTGTTAAGGATTACGTCAGTTACATTAACAAGAATTTGACGAGGATGCCACCTTGATGCACATGTCAATGAAAAATCGACTTGCCATGCCACATAATACTTTAATGCCAATCCATAGTGGACCACACAAAGCCGACAAAGAGGCGGTAAAATGAAGAAAATGAAGCAAAAGAAGTAGTAATTCAGGTTGGTTAATCTTAGTTTAAGTCAAAGTATTATTTTACTTGGTAGTTAAAATAATGATGATAGCATCGTATTTGCACGTGTTTTCACTCTGGTTTCCTGTCCATTTTGGCTCGAATTGATTGTTCCTTGGCCTATTTTACGCTAGGTTGTGTTGTTTTGTCGTATTTCAGGTCCTAGCAAGTAAAGAGGAGCAAAGGCGCAAGTTTCGGGTCATTTGGAGGTCAATTGGCGAGTCACAGCGAGAATTACGGGCAGCCCCTGCTAAATTACGGCCGTAATTAGCCAGGGCATGCCCGTAATTAATTGACCGAGCCTTCTCCCCAGCAATTCTTCTCGGTGATGAAATTACGGGCAAGACCCCAAGAATTACGGCCGTAATTCCCAAATTACTGGCGGTAATTGGGAAATTACGGGCGTATCTCCTCCTCCTGCAGCTTAAGTGAAACGTGCGTTTTGGTGTGAATTACGGGCAGGAAGTGATTACGGCCGTAATCTGCCCGTAATTCGCCCAGAGTCGGGTTTTTGGAGGCAGATTCGAGCCAAGGAGAGGAAATTCGATTTTCTGGCCAAAAACAGAGTTTTAGAGAGAGAAAGAGCGAAGAACAAACCCTAGGAGCTATTTTGGAGTGGATTTCTCATCATTGAAGCCCAGATTGCGTCCCTAGGAGTGAAGATTGACATCCCAGAGCATATTTTCCTCATCTTTATGAGTATGGCTACTCTGATTTCTGTTTTCCTTTCTCTCTCTATGGAGTAGAACCTTTCTCTCACTTGGGTATGAAGAACCCTAGTTCCTTGTGTTAGGGATTTGATTGTAATGACTTGGGATGATATTATTGTTTGATTTTAATCGAATGATGCATGTTTCATGAATTGATTTGAGTCTGATCAGCTTGTCTCAATTTCTGCTTCAACCTGAGATAGATAGAATCTGATTAGGTTGTTAGAGCCTCTTCATTCGATAGTAGGAGATTGGCTATACGAGAGTTAGCCAGTTTACTGCTTTGTACTGGTGTTCTTGACGCCAGTAGTGGAGTTCTGTGTTCATAGCCTCAGCTTTCTATCCCGGTGAAGACTAGTCGTCTGCCGGGTAGTTAGACTGAGAGGGCTTGGTCAGCTTAAGAGATTCCAAGCTACTGTCGGATCTTCCGCAGTCTAATCAACAGTAAATCAACCCAGGGAATTGCAATTGAACCTAACTAAGGGGCTAGGGGGACTCAATCCCGAGTGACTCTTACCTGCTTTTGAAAACCGAACCATTTCCTGCTTTCTTACTGCTTTTGCTTTAAACAACAATCACTCGAATTAGTTTGCTAGATAATAGAGAATCACGGAGTAAGCAGTAGATCTAGACCCCGGGTTGATAATTAAACTTGCCTGTTACTGCATTCCCGGACTGCGATTACACTTGGTCGCAGTTTGGTGTTGTGTTTTGGCGTGTCAAGTTTTTGGCGCCGTTGCCGGGGAACCTCTAGATTATTGGGGAAACGTGAGAATTTGTTACTCTAGCTTTTATTTACTGCATTTTATCTCTTCCACCTGTGTGCCTTCACGGGTTGCTTCTGCTGATTGTGTGCAGGTAGTGCATGACCCGTAGCCAGTCGGGAGATCTACTACCATTAGACCAGGAGCTTGAACGAACTTGCAGGAACTTCAAGCGGGCTCTAAAGGCGCGACTGGCTGCGGAGGAGGCGCTAACAGCTGCAGTTAGGAGAAGAAGAAGAAGAAGGAGAGATGGGTGATCCGCAGAACCATCTGTGATCCCCGAGGAGCAGACCATGGGATCCTACTGGACCGCTAGGGCTGCGGACATGAGGTCACCCATTCAACACCCTCAGGTCCCAGCCAACAACTTTGAGGTGAGCACCTCCGTGATCACCATGCTGCGCGGTTCAGTAGTGTTCCGTGGTAAGGAGGGAGAGTGCCCTCGATCACATCTCAGGCGATTCCACGAGCTCATCGATGGAATCAAGATCAATGGGGTACCAGCAGATGCCATCCAGCTGAGGTACTTCCCATTCACTCTGGAGGGGCAGGCCAAGGAGTGGCTAGACACTCGACCTCCGGGCTCCATCACCACGTTCGCCAACCTGGCGGACAAGTTCCTCACCCGCTACCATCCTCCATCCAAGACAGCTGATCTCCAGAAGCAGATTACACACTTTTCTCAGGATGAGGATGAGACCATTAGGGATGCTTGGGAGAGGTACACCAGCCTCTTTCTCAGGTGTCCCAACCATGGTTTCAATGATGCGTTCAAGGTGGGCACCTTCTATCACGCCCTCTTCCCGGAGGACAAGCAGCTGATTGATTCGGTTTGTGGCGGGAACATGCTGACAAAACCCCGCCACAGCTGAATCAACTCTTTGAGGAGATGGCGGAGAACGGTACGACTGGGGCACTGCCAGGAGATCGAGACGAGCACCTGGACGGGGTGTGCATGCTGTGGGCACCCAGTCATCTGATTTGGTGCAGGTGGTATCGAAGCTGGTTTCAGCTATCGATCGTTCTGGTTTGATTGCAGGTACCGGACAGCCGCAGGCGATGCACTGCCAGTGGTGTGAGAGCTCTCATCACACCGTGGAGGACTGTCAGGCATGAGGGAGTCGTCCACTCCCCAGGAGCAG